TTGGAGTTATTGTATCAATTATAGGTTTTCAAGTTTATCCTCTTAGCATTTCAGAACAGAAAAAAAATAATATATTTATTGACTTCTCTAGCTTATCATATTTTATAATATTTTATAATAATTTCCTTTGTTTTGAAAATAGTTTATTCTAGAAGATGATCATCTAAATGGCAGCGAAGCAATTTATACATTTTTGAGTCCCAGTTCAGATCATTTAAAACAAACGATGCCATCTCCGAAAAAATCCAAATTTTCATTGTCAACCTTATTTAAAAGTGATGCTGCCAAAGCAAATGAATTAAATAAAGCAGCAGATCCATTTTGGGGTTTACATCGTGATGAGGAAGACATATCAACATATTTGGAAGGTGACACAGCAGGTGATGCAAAACTTCTAACTGATTTAGATGTTAAAGATTCTATAGCTGAACCATTATATGCACTGTTGGGAGAAATATTCGATATGGGTGGAGTTTTTAAATGGCTACGAAAGAGTATGATTTCGTTTGTACAAATAACTTATGGTAGAACAATTAATAGGTAAGTACTTAAAGTGGGGATCAGTCGATATGCAGTAGTTATTTACATTTAACCTTGAAATGTATTTAATATTATAATAAATATTTATACATTAGAAGTTCTTGACGATTTTGATTAATATAAATTAATATAAATGATTAATATAACATTATTTTATATATAAAAGAACATATTAAAATATTTGTTTTAATAAATATAAAATATTTAAAATATATATATTCAATATTTATTTTCATTTATTTAACTTAGGCAAATACGTGAATCTGTGATGGGTCTCTTTGAGGAATCAATGCTACATCATTATTTTTCCGCCATTCTAAAATCATTTTGGCCAGGAGGTGTTTTAGCTTCCGCATATCCAGTACGTTCTGATGATATGAAAGAGATGACAACAAATGCTGCAAAGGCATTACTAATGGATAATATACCGGAGGTGCTATGCAATTTGGTTGGTGCACAAGCTGCCAAACATGGTGTGCTAAAAGTCTTTGATGCTTTACAAAATCCAATTTATAATAAGCAATTATTTTACGTAAGTAATTAAAATATTTATTAATTCAATTTTAATAAAAATTTCTTATTAGGAACTACTTGAGATATTAATGATCGAATTTTTCCCTGAAATACGTCAACTTAAAGTGACAGCCAATGGCAAGACCATCAAAGTCAAAGCAACTACTACAAATGCATTTAACGCAAATGCTTTAACATCAACAACAAGTCACAACAGCAATAATCATAATCACAATCATAGTCACAATCATCATCATCATTCACAACAGCAACACCAACAACAACACCAACAACAGCATATACAAACCCATTTTGGTACAAGCGGCAGTAGTAAATAATGCTCAGAGTAGATTATAAAACCTTGTTCTTGATATTGAAATGTTTTTATAAAAAAAATTGTAATGTAAAATTATTAGTAAATAAGTAGAAGATGCTTTTGAACCATATAAAATTTTGTTGAAAATATTTATAAATTTTTATAAATGAAAAACCTGTATTTAGTACACGTTTTTCTTTTCTTCAGACAAATTTATTTTTAGCGTGGCTTTTTGATAAAAAAAAAAAATTAAAAATAAATCAGTTAAAATTTTTTAATTAATTATTGACAATTTTTGAAAAAAGTAAACTTGTTTTAATTGATAAAAAATTTTCGTTATAAATATTTTAAAACTAAACCTACGTTATCATATAATGTAATTAATATGTTGTGTTGAGTTTTCATGGCTTTTGGTATTATTTCTTATATCAATTGTACTTTTATGTTAAAAGAACGACGTTATAGTATAGTCTTGATATGTAGTGCAAATTTCAAGTTTATATAAAAAATCTTTATTTTTGCTTATGAATTTTATACATTGTTATTATATATTATAAGAATATAAAAATCTAGGAAATTTTTGTTTTTGTGAAATCATATATATTAAGTTTTAAACTCGATTTGTAAGCAGTATTAATATAAACTATTCATTTCAATATCTCGAAAAATAATACAAATCTGTACATTCCAAAGATATTATATGTTTTGACATCATATACACTTTAATTTGATGTATGTAAAATAAATTAATTTATATAAAATTTTTAAAGACAATATAAAATGTAAACATTGTAATACAATATATATAAATAGTTTCTATAAATTAAATGTATGTAATTAAATGCAATGTATTTTTAATGGTTTTTGTGGTCACAAAATAAATAAATACTCTCTATATACAAGATATGTTATGTGTACACCTAAAAAATATTATGTATTGTGTGTAAATAAAGTAAGTGTTTATGTAAAAATGATTCATAAATTTGTCTATATTTATTCAAAAAAAAAAAAAAATAAATAAAAGATTAAAATTGTGGAAGTATGATGTTACGTTTGGTTGATTTGGATGTAAGTACCGCATAGATTTTTTTATTGGATCTCAACATTTTTGGTGAATTAAGGTTTGGTTAGCTTAAGGTGCAACAAAGCTAACTTGGGTACAAATAATAACCTGTTATGACACCATAGATATTGAATCTAAATAGTGCTTGTAGTGTGATATGTCTTTTAACTTCATAAATTGAAGATCCACCGAGCGTTTAAACTGTGTTTGTGACAACTCAGGGCATAAACATAAGAAATGTTCCAAATTCTCATCGTTTTTCAGCTCTCTGCATTTTCTGTAAATTTTATTATTAGTGATTCCTATTTTAGTCAACCAGTAGACCTACGATCGATCTGTAATCCTTTTGTGAGAGCGCTGGTACGAGTAAGGTATACTTTCCTTCGTTTAATTTTGATATAACCTAGTCATTGTTTAAACCTTGTCATTGCTTGCCTTCATATTTTTTTGTTCCAACTCCCTTCGAACAAGGTTGTTGATAATCTCATATACTATTTTGTTTTTTATGAATTGGTACATAATATGTGTATACCAAATTATCTACATATTGCGGCTAACCTTTCTGTGCCTTACCTGGTCTTTAGAACACAGGAATAAACTTAATGTCGTTAGAGGTATTTGGCATTTACGTTCTTCTTATTACATTTATTCCAATTTCTACCATTTACCATAATTTATACTCTTTTTATTTCCCATTAATCATACAACATTCTTTTCTTTTTGTCTTCTAGGCCAAAGGCCAAATACTATTGGAATCTTAAGTAAGGGTTTAAGAAAAAAAACTGGACTTCATATATAAGAGCCAAAATTTTTCTATAAATAAAGATTATTGAACTTTTGAGCTATTTTTGTATTACTGTTAATGAATATCCTTTTTTAATAAAACTTCCACAGTTAATATATAATTTTTTGGTATAAAAAATATTTATTAAATTAACTCCCAGTCCTTAACAACAAATTTAACTACATGATTTCACATTAAAATTAATTAATAACAAAATGACTAAATGCATAAAACTATTGTAGGAATTTACAAGTCTGAATCAACGCCTGTGTCCAAAAAGTCGTTAACGAGACGCATGGCCTTTCGTGGTAAAAGACGTCCAATTTTGTCAACATGAACGAAATGGCGTGGTATACTGGCTTCTTCAAGACCAGTACGTTGGGCACTGATAATTGAGGCAGCAGCATCGCTTGGTGTTACCAATTTCATTAAATTGGGGAAACGATAACGTGGTTTCTTACAGAGACCAGTATCCACCATGTAAGGATAAATAGAAGTCAATTTAATCTGTAAGAGTTAATATATAGAGAATTATTAATTCAGTGTATTATACAATAATTAAAAAGTATTTACATTGTTGTTTGGATTATTATGGCGGAGTTCTTCAGTTAAAGCAGACATGATACCGCGTACTGCGAATTTAGTACCGCAATATGGCACTAAGTTAGGTAAGCCGAAAAGACCAGCACATGATGATAATGCGACAATGTTGCCTTGGTTTCTTTCAATCATTTCTGGTAAGAAGGCTTGAATGATCTGTAAATATACGTCAATAAAGAATTTACTTTATAGTATCTTTATATACATAAAATATAGTATATATTGTTTCGGGTATTTAATTATGTTTCTCAAAAGCAATTTATTTTATAGTTTGATATATGTATAATGTGTGTTATATTAAGAGACATACCCAGAAGTGTGCGATGACATTGATTTCGAACATATTTCTTATTTCAGTCTCAGTAGTTTGTAAGAGAGGATGGCAGGGCATAATACCGGCATTATTGACAATAATTGAAATGAATCCATGTTCCTTTTTGATTTTGTCAGCCAATTCGTTGATATCATTACGATTCATTACATTGCAACTGTAAGTATAGGTAATATTGTTGTGATCATTCTTCATAATACTATTAAATCTCTTAGAATGGAAATTCTTTTAAAGAGTTTTTCACTTACGTGTATGCGAAGGCTTTTCCACCACTAGCTTTGATTTCCTTAACTGTTTGTTGATTGTTCTTCTCGTTAATATCCCAGCAAATAACTTTAGCACCAAGTTTGCCATATTGCAAAGCTAATTCTTTACCAATCCCATGACCTGTACCTGTGACTAACACTGCTTCACCTTGCACATTAGTCTCTTCTTTTGGTAGGAATGTCTGAATGATTGATTGAACACAGGTGAACCAGAATTTGATTTGCAATACAATAATGTCAATAACTAGGACGACAACACTGTAAAGGTCAATTCCGTTGGAGCTAAAAGTAAATGAAAATATATTTAGAGATTTTAAGTAATTTTAAGAGAGATCAAGAATTTTATATATTAAAAAAATATTTAAAAGGATATAAAAAGTTTAATTTTATAATTTAATAATATAATTTTATAAACATTGTTATTATTACTCGGACGCTTTGAGTGATATTGCTTGTTTCACCAGAGAACAGTAGTAGGTAGCTTGCATCAAAGGTGGATTGTAGGAAAAGGGATGAAAAACTCTTTCTTTATAGAATGTTCGATGAATAATATTTGTAAGGTACATGAAAGGTTAACAAAAAGCATTTGCAAAAGTTTTAAGGTTAAAAGTTTTTAGGATAGTAAGCTCCTTAAGCTCCTTAAACTGTTTTTGAGATATTTGGATTTCTATGATTGAACACTTTTTTGGGATAGACGTCTTCTTCACGCCATCGATTTTGGTCAATTTGTTTAATGGACGCTCTTACGCGCTTTTATTAATTTCTTGCAAATAGTAATCATCTCCCGATATATCGTTTAACTTACTTAACTCAGTATCTAGTTTAGGAAAGCTATGAAGACAATTTTCATTAATGTCTGACTATTTAAAAAAAGACTTCGTTTCTATAAATTTTATTGTGAACATATTTACTAGGTATATGCATTGCAATTATGTAGAAAATTCATCTGCCCATAAAGTTTTAAAAAGTTGTATGGTACATTTGGCAAAAAGAAAGTAGTTAGATATAAACCAAGGAAAAGCCAGATAATTGATAATATAGTAGGGACCCATAACAAGAAAAAATTGAACATAGTTAAGCCCTGACTTAACAAACGCCAAAATCCTAATAGACGACCTAAACAAAATGGATGTAGTTGATTGAAGAGCATTAATCTTTTTTAAGCAAATTCTTTTAAATATAAACACATAATAATTTAATCAATATTGAATCTTTAATAAATTCTTTTAATCACTATATACATATAAGAAAATATTTTTAACAAAATTTTTTAATCAAGTTCAATGTTATCTTATCAGAAGGCTAAATGTTTTCTCTTCGGTTAGGGTCAGTTGTAAACACAAAATATTTACCAGAACGCTGTTGTTTTCGGTTCTATTCTATCTTATCATACAGATATAATTTATATGGTATATGGTATACTTGTTGAAAAACTACCACGATACATAATTAATTATTGAAATATATTTGTAAGTACAAGCGGATAATGTGTTATCGTTTTATTATTTCATAATCGACAAATCCAAAAAGGTTATTTAGTATTATAATAAAATTAGAATTTAGTTCAAGTTTGAACTGAGAACGCATTTTTCACGATAAGTAATATCAAGTAATATTTTTAAATTTATCAATGTTGTTCTATAAAAATGTTTAGATTATAAACCAAAACTACAATATTACTTATGTTACTTATTAAAATAATGTAAAAAAATCATTTAGTTTTAATTTAGAATGAAAAAGTATTTATAATAAATTAAAATATAAATAATTTAAAACGTATATTAGAAGTAAAAAGTGATGTAAGGGTTAAAAGCGTGCGCTACAAAGGAGGAGTGATGCGAATATATAGCCTAACCTTCTCAATTGTCAACCCCACCTACCCTGGGGCATCCTGTTGTTTACATATAACCTGAAAACATATACTTGTAAGGAAATTCTCTAAATATTGCATACTAATCCTATCTTCAGGGTAGCAAATAAGGAGATCTGGCCCTCCAGGTTGATCGCAAGGCCAGCAACCTTGGAACGGAAATATTTTACCACTACACACTGGACTATAGCCAAATAAGAAGAATATGATT